TGATATCTGCCATTCATTATCATAGACGACGTCACTTTGTAGGACATCTTGGAAGCTAGCGTCGCATGGGTTCTCTCAGTCGAAAAGCAATGCATTTTCCCCATAGACTTTTGGAAAATCTCAAAAAATAAGATCTGTGTTTAACAAAGAGTTGTGACCCTTACACGTTTTGTCTGTCAATTTAATCTTTACAAGTTAATCCAAAATGTATACATTTTAAAGCCTATATAAAGTTTCTAAAAAACACAATCAGACACAATAAAGTTTAAAAAACCATAAGCAGGTTATAACTGTGTGTTCTATGTCATAGATCAAAACGTGAAAATATTTAGAGGCTTTGTTCACCACAGACCTTATTTCAGGCAATTTAGCAAAAACCCATTCGCTTTAGAGCGAGGGAACCGTAGTGCTAAAATGCTAACTCACTTCCGCGTTTCGGCCTACAGAGTGACGCCATAACTTCGGCACTCTATTGACAAGTTCATTAAGGAGCAAGTAAACTCATTAAGTGTTATTTATCTGGATAAGAATATATTCACACAAATACTAACACATCACTTCATGACTCTTTAAAGACATATTAATAGTTTACAGCATAAAAGTAAGTATGATTGAGTGATTGGTTATAGCCTAATTTTACAATAAGTAATACATAATAAATGCATTGGGTATGATGAACTAACATTTAACAATACTAAAACAGCATTTAGAAATCTAAAATCAGAATTGTTTTGGATAAGTACAGTCACAAAATATACATGTCTATATTATTATGTATTCTCTCTACTCTAGCTCTATATCCTGTCTCCATGTAGACAGGCCTCACTGATGGCACCACTGCCAATTTGAGTGAGATAAAGGGTATTTTATCTCTTCCATTTTCTTCTAACACTCAAATGGGTTGGGAGTCATCATGTGAACCAACATGGCTGCTTGGAAGTAGCCTAGTTTGGATTCCCCTCCTGCATGATATGGAATAGTAAGTAGTCCATGTACTAAATTGATTCAAGTAAATCAAACGGCAAAGGGTATTGCATATGCCACCTCAAACCAAAGTAACTCCATGACCTGCCGCAGAGATGGATAACACATTGGCGTCTACTGAAATGCTAACTTCACTCACTGAGAGTGCACTTGAGAAATACTTCTTTAAAGCAGAGGCAGCATCAAAGGAAGGATTTGATCGGTTGGAGCAATGTTTGGACTCACTTAGAGCTGGCTTCGCAGAACTCAAAGAGGAAACAAAAGTCCTTCGGGAAGCAAACATAAAATCAATGGCTTGCATCGCATTCGTGGAACAGAAGTCAACAGCCTTATCAGTAACAATGACAACAGTAGAGACAAAGTTAGCTGACCTAGAAGATCGGAGCAGAAGAAACAACATTGTTGTCCATGGCCCTTGCGAGGGAAGGGACAATTCAAATGCTTTACAATGCATCATAAACGCTTTTCACTACCATTACGGTTTTCTGCACTGAAAGACACGCCACCGAAGATCATGAGAGCACATCAGGTAGGACCCCCCGGGGATACTGTATGTTGCTTCAAAACCGAGGGTCTTGATTTTTATGTGCCTCAGATACACTGACAAAGCGAGGATTTTGAAGCAAGAACTCACTTGTGATTGATGGATTATAGCCTGACAACAAGGGTCCGGCATTTGGTCGTGTTATCCTGTCATGGAAAAGGCTCGGCATGATGGTTTGCTTTGCAGGCTTTCCTACTTTACCCAGCAACTATAAAAAATATCCAGAGGCCAGGAGAATGCTGACTAGAGTGTATTGGAAAACGATATTGGCTCAGTCACTTACAGAATCAATATTAGTTCTTTGTGATGACAAGAACTGTTTTGTTTATTCATTGTTGGCCACGTGATGAATTCGTAGACGCTGATCACTGGGTGAGTGTTCTACAGTACGTAGTGGGGCGCCGTAAACAGGGAAGCCAGCAAGCAGTGCTGTTTTGTACTTTTCACGATATATGGTACGAGAAGGAGTGCACTGAATCTATTTATAAGATGGACTAAAATAAACTTCTCAGCAGGACTATGAGAGGGAAATTACTGTACTCACTTGATAATGGACACAGATATTGGGGGTGTGAATGGGTGGAATGAATGTGTGTGGATGAAGTTTCAACATTTAGAAGTTTATATGTTAAGACCTGGTTTCTATGAATGTGGAGATCATGATTATTTAATGGCTGAAATAATAAATGGTGTGGTTCGCAAAATTGCCTAGGAAAGGGATTAAAGTTCAGACGTTTAAATATTCGTAGCCTCAGAAATAAAGTAATTGACATATCAAACATTTTATTAGAGAGTCATTTACACATATTAGGAATTACTGAGACTCATTTAGATTCCACAATTGAAGATTTGTTATTGCATATCCAAGGGTACAGCATAGGAAAGACAGAAATGTATGGGGTGGCGGTGTTGCTATACATTCAGGAGCATATACCAGTTACTAAGAGTGGATTTAATGACATCTGAGATTGAAGCTTTATGGCTTCAAGTTCATATTCCACATTTAAGGCCCATATTAGTTTGCTGTTGTTACCGTCCACCCAATGCTAATTCAGCATATTTAGAGAATGTATGATAGATAATGTGTGTGATAGTCTAAACAAAGTATATATTATGAGAAGAAACAAGCTTTACTCTGTAACAGAGGCATGTGGCTTGAAACAACTTGTGACCGATCTTACTCGAATATGTGGTAGGAGTGATGGATCCATCAACAGAATTACCGGACTCGCGTCCTCAGGAGTCATTCTCCTGAGTCGGACTTTCCGTGATAGGCTGCTTGGTATTGAGAAACCCCTAATGCCGACGCTTGACAAACATGCCGCTAAGCAAGAACAAGATCTGCTGTATGTCATCCTTTGTTGCTTTCTTCTTCGCGTGAAAATGACGTTGTTGCTTCTTTCCGGGCAAACACCACGCCGATCAAGTGAGGGTACTCTTGGCGGTTACTCACGGTTTACCGACTGTCAGAAATATAAGTCTTTTTAGTCTCAGCTATGTCCATTAGGCCCAAGAGTATAAAGGCTCTATGAAGAGTTTATGCTTTGCTTGCACATTCCTCTGTATGTATGTGTGTAAGTTCAAACATCTGGAGAGTTTCTCCCTCTCCCCTTTCTGTTCTTCTTTCTTTTGTTACATATAGAAAGTCTTCTAGGATCCCTAGGTTCTGAGGGTATTTTCAACGGATATTGACCATATTCGGAGTTATTATATAAATGTTATACAACGTATATATGATATGGCATGAGGTCATATATAATTCTATTGGATAAGACCAGATAACTCCCCTCGATATTTTCATATATATTTGCATGTCACATATGGGGAGGCTGAGCTATCTTTTCTGGCTCCCCCAGCGCTGGTGATTTTGATTCTGTATGGTCTGTTCACAACTCAATAAAAGGACGTGGAGGAAAAGGCACTTGTTGGAAGTCGTTCATTTCTAACAATTTGGGGGCTCGGTCCTGGGATTTCTCCAAGCGGTAAGAATTTAATTTTTTCTCTTTTAAAAGAAGGGAGAGAGTTGGTTCTTACTGTTTGCTGAGAAAAAAGTTATTGTTGTAATTTTAGTGCCGTGAAGTTTTACCATATTTGGTAAAATCCTCGTAATCGATTGGGAGAATGGTTATCCTCGCGTTTGAATTAATGCGGGAAGAGCAAAAAAAGGAGGTCTGATCCCCCTCACTATTTTTTGTTAAATTGGATTTCTCCTCATATCGTTGCGGGATGACGTCGTTCCTCGCGTTTTTTTGATAAAAAGCGCGGGAAGAGCACAAAAGAGAATTGCTACCTCTTTTGATGTTTTGGGTTTGACCTCGTGTTTTGATAAATACGGGATGAACAGAGGAAATTGATCACTTTCCCCTGTTTTTTAGGAAGTATCTTCGCGAGATATTTCGAATAACTCCGTTCATTTTTTGAGGTTGTGAATAGACTATACATAGGCCTAATTCCCCCCCCCCCCCCCCTTCTATTTTTTCCTCCATCTCTTTGTTTCCTATCTGTACTAACAATTTGCCTTTGTTTTTTTTTCATTTGACTATTTTGAAAAAATTGTTAACTCTGAATTAGAGGAGAAATTTTTGTGTGGCTTAAAATGGGAAATAAAATAAGTCCGCCGCTAATTGATGAAACGCCGAAAGATTTTATGATTCGGAATGATCAAGCATTTTTCACAGAACCATATCTATCAAATTTAGCTGGCTGGTCAGCTGGTAAAACACAGCTAGATCCGTTTCCTCGTGAAGGTTCGTTCAAAGATGCATACATGCAAAGTGCTAAAGACATGATTTTTGGAAATTGGGGTGATCCAAATTGGGATTTTGATTATATGAAACGATCCTATAAAACATGGGAAACGATGAAAAAATACTGGAATCGCGGACCGGAGATAGATAAAACTGCAGAAAGAAATAAAGATCAAAAATCGTCTCCCTCCCAGGGTGCACTCAGTGCGCAGCCTGATAGAGAGACGCAGACCGCTCAAAATCCAGTCACACAGAGTGAGAGAAAAAAAAGTTTCTCTCACACTGCCGATGTAAGCGTCCCCCACCCTCCTAAATATGAGTCCATTCAGACTCCAGCAGTTTGTGAGACGCCTGTGAGAAATAAACTGTATCCTGATTTAAAGGCTGCGACTACGTTTCCTTTCGTGGAAACTTCAGACGGCTTTAAAGTGCATCCGTTGCCTCTTGCCGACGTTGTAGCTATTTGCAAAGAACTTCCAGATCCGACTAAAACTCCGCATCAGTATGTTTCAGTTTTGAAGCGACTGACAGCTTACAGTCAATTGACAGGGCGGGATTATCGTTTCATATTAACTAAAACACTCCCGGCTGAAATTACTGAGGAAGAATTAATAGAAGAAATTGATCTGTTACGTCCAATACATGACGCGCCACCGGCCCGTAGTATTCTGATCAGAGATTCAGAACCTGTTGATTTGTCGCGATCTTTTCGTGGAGTTCGCGTGATGGATGATTACGATGATTACGATGTTGATTGGGTGTGGGCCAATGCAGGTAAACTTCAACTTTTTTTTAAACAATTAACAACATTCTTGATGAAGTTGTCATCTGCTAAACAAGACATTTCCCATGCAGCTAATACAAAACAAAAAGCTGGTGAGAGTCCAGTAGCTTTCTTTAACAGATTTAAACGTGCTTGGATTGAAGAATCTGCCATCCCTGTTGATGATGACAATTGTCCGTTGTTTGTGAACACGTTTCTGAACATATGCATGACGAGACTGCTCAATTACTTCGAATCACCACAAATAACTTTTTAACTATGTCAATTGATGACCTTGGCAAACGTTTGCGTGAGCTTTCCTCTGCAGGAGCCTTTGTCTCCTCCCGAGGTAAGACTCCGATAATGTTGCAGGTTGATGCCTCAGCTCCGAACCGTCCGGTCGGTTATAGACCAAAACCTCTAACATGTTTCTGCTGTGGCAGCACAGGGCATGTGGCCAAGTTTTGCAGGCAGAAGTTGGAAATGAAGCAGGCCAATAGGAACCAGATGCGTCGACGCTCTGATGGCTATAGGCCAAGGCCCCAACCTTCGTTCTCTCCAAGTCAGAAGCAACAGCCTGTGTATCAGACTGAATGGAAACGTGCATGAAGGGGCCCGCAGAATCAAGAGTCTGAGTTTTCACTACTTTCGATTCAATATCCAAATAAATCACATGTTTTGCCATTTCTTGAATTGAAAGTTGACCATAAACCATATGTCTTTCTGATTGACAGTGGTGCCTCTGTCTCCTCCCTAAGTTCAAATGTGTACTCAGGCTCCGTCACAGGAAAGAAAATTAATTCTGTGGGCATAAATAATGTTCCTGTGAAATGCGATTTGACACCATCTTTACCGATTACCAGTAATGACGTGCCGTCATTGTTTAAAATGCATGCTTTTGCAATCATACCGAATTCACCATTCTGTCTATTAGGTAGAGACTTGATGCATAAGCTTGGTATGAAATTGGAATTTGAATCTAACTCTCTGACACTTCTGTTTCCCGCAGTTTTCTCCATTACGACCGATACAGGAAGTGCTCTTGTTGAGGATTCATCTGCAACTGTGCTGACACCAGAAATTTCGGGTGTCAACCCTCAATTGTGGGCGAAACACAAAGATGACGTAGGGTTAATAAATGTTCAGCCCTATAGGGCGAATTTGATAACCACTAGGCCTGTGTTTCAAAAACAATACCCACTTTCAAAGGAAAAAGAGGAGGGAATTTCACCCCTCATTGAACAATTCCTGAGTCAAGGCATTCTGATCCGAACTCATTCACCTTATAACACACCAATCAATCCAATTAAGAAAGCAAATGGTTCTTGGCGTTTAACACAAGATTTGAGAAAAATTAATGATTTGATAAAACCACTTGCTCCGATTGTGCCAGATGTGCAGAATATAATAAATTCAATTCCTTCAGCACATACATTTTATTCTGTTATTGATTTAAGCTCAGCCTTTTTCAGCATTCCTGTTGATCGTGACACTCAGCCATTGTTTGCATTTTGTTTTCAGAATTGTCAATACACGTGGACGAGACTCCCTCAAGGGTTCAGAGATTCTCCGGCTGTCTTCTCCTCAGTAGTGCACGATACACTGAAAGATGTCAAACTCCCACCAGACACCTGCTTGCTCCAATATGCTGATGACATTCTGGTCACTGGTGCCTCTGAGGACATGTGTGCTGCTGCCTCAAAGATTGTGTGCAACATTCTAGCTGAAGCTGGATTCAAGGCATCTAAAGAGAAACTTCAATGGGTGCAGAGGAAGGTCACTTACCTCGGACATGAACTGTCACAAGGCAAAGTTCGTCTGTCTGCGGACAGGATCAAAGCCATTGCTACATTCAAGCATCCATCCACACGGAAGCAAATGCAAAGCTTTCTGGGACTGGTCAATTACTGTCGCCTGTGGGTGCCTAACTGTTCCAAGTATGACAAAATCCTGCGTGAAGCTACGCTGGGTGACATGGAGGACATTACATGGACAAGTGAGATGAATCAAGCATTCAGACATTTGAAATCCTCACTCTTAAGGCCGCCTGCCCTCGGCCTACCTTGTTACACCCAAGACTTTCATTTGTACGTGTACGAAAACGGAGGCACAGCCGCTGCAATCCTGGCCCAAGAGCATGGGGGCACTTTCCGTCCAGTAGCTTATTTATCTAAGACCCTGGATTCAGTAGCCAGGGGACTCCCAGCCTGTTTGCGTGCAGTGGCCGCCACAGCTGTCATGATACAAGATGCTGAAAAAGTTGTTTTATCGCATCCACTCATTGTGCATGTCTCTCATCAGGTAGGAGCCATCATGCATAACATTTCTACTCAACACATGACTGCCCAACGCCGTTCAGGCTATGAGGCTATTTTGTTAGCAACTGCTAATTTAACGTTGAAAGTAACTTCTGTTCTTCATGGCCCTACTGTACATTTGCACAGATTGCTGACGCAAGGTGAATTTGAGAGTGACGACCATGACTGCCTGACCAGGATCCAAACTTCTACTGCCTGCAGGCCAGACGTTTCTACGTCTGTCCTGGAGGAGGGAAAGCATTGGTATATTGATGGATCCTGCTTTAAGCCAAATGACAGTACATATTTGTGTGGTTACGCTATTGTTGAATTACCTGATAAAGTAATTGAAGCGCATTCACTGCCATATAAATCAGCACAAGTTGCAGAACTGATTGCATTAACAAGAGCTTGTCAATTGGCTAAAGGTCAGTGCATCAATATATACACTGACTCCAAATATGCGTACGGTGTAGTCCATGATTTTGCTAAATTATGGGAGGAAAGAAACTTCAAAACCTCCGACGGAAAACCAATTTCGCATCATAATGTTGTGGCTGAACTGATTAGTGCAGCACAGCAACCATTGAAGCTTGCAGTTATTAAAGTAGCTGGTCATAAAACAGGTGAATCTGATGAAGCCAAAGGAAACAGATTTGCAGATGAAGTAGCAAAATGGGCAGCAAAAGAAGCAATATGTAGTCCACATGTAAGTGAACAAAGCAATGAAGTGCCGATGATGAATTCGTCGTTGATTAATGATTTGGATGTTAAAATACTGCAAGCAAATCCTACTCAAGAGGATTTGACTCATTGGGCAGCCAATGAAGTGAAACCAGATCAAGCTGGTATTTTAAGAGATAAGCAAGGTAGAATCGCACTACCAGCATCCACAGTTGTAATGCTGTGCAGACATTATCATGGTGTATCACATGTGTCGAAAGAGAAAGTGATACAAAATTTGAATCGATCATACTGCATAGCCAATGTTCGAAGAAATACTTTGTTGATATTGGATGCTTGTCTAGTGTGTGCTCAAACCAACAGGCACAAGGCAATCCGCCATGATGCTTTACCGCATCCAGAACTTCCGTTCCAATATTTACAGATTGATTTTACACACATGCCTCCATGTGGAAATCACAAGTATTTGCTTGTGATTATTGATCGATTTACTAAGTGGCCTGAAGCTTTTCCATGTGGAAAAGAAGACGCGAAGACAGTAGTAAAGATTCTTGCAAAAGAAATTATACCGCGCTTCGGTATTCCGACCGTGATAGCAAGCGACAATGGAACTCCGTTCACTTCTAAAGTTACACAATTATTAGCTAAAGAGCTGAAAATTAATTGGCATTTCCATATTCCGTACCATCCGGAATCTTGTTCGAACGCCGAACGACTTAATAAAACGATAAAAGAACGTCTAAATAAAGCGTGTCTAGATACGGGAAGAAATTGGGTTGATTTGTTGCCTGCCGTACTGACGGAAATAAGAATGTCTCCGTCAGCCACTACAAAAATGTCTCCATTTGAAATTCTCATGGGTAGACCTTTCCCGACCCCTTGGGTCAGAGGTCGCGCTGGCAATCTTTCCACAGGTGACACGGAGGTGATCATCGCAGATTATGTGGATTCCCTTGTTAGAACGTTAAATGGCATAAATGGTGATGTTTCTCTCTCTCTCCCTCTTCCCTCAGAAAAGCCAACTCATCCCTTTGTTCCAGGACAGTCGGTGTTGGTGAAGTGTCTAAAACCCACAAAGCTTGGGGAAGCGAATTATCTTGGGCCTGCCACCGTGATCGCTGTGACAAGGACCGGTGTTCTGACTGACCTCCAGCCGCAGTGGATCCATGCTAGCAGAGTGAAGGCAGCCCCGTCCCCAGGGAGCGCATAAGCCTATGTGGAGGTGGATATCCAGCACTTATCGAAAGGAGAACGAGGAAGAGAAGTAGACGAAAAAAGAAAAAAAAGAAAAACGAGATTGCTGATTGAAGTTAGCAATAAGTATCATTGAGTCCATCAAGTCATGTTTGCACAGTCGCTTTTATACCTGATTGTGCTAAAAAATCTGCTAATTTACACACAAGCGCTTATAAGCAGTGGTAATGAAACTTGGTTGGATCATACAGATGAACCACATGCGTTTGCCTCCAATATGTGGTGGAGGTTAGCCAACTTCACTGCTAAGTCAACAGGAAAAAAGAGTGACTGTTATGTTTGTACAAAAATGCCACAAAGTGCGTCTGGACCTCATGTAAGTGTTAAATCACCAAAGACAGACGGAGAGCTGTTTTGTCCTTTATTTCTTAGTACTGTGGGAGCGATTGCACCTCAAAATTCAACTGTGAACTGGACTTGTCCTGATAACAGGAAACTGACAGTTGCAGTACAAGTACATGCTAAAGTGGCAACTGTAGGTCCCATTCCCGACTCATTGTTATGTATTGAAAGAAAAGTAGGAGCCGCAGTACTTGGTTCAATTCCTGAAGGTAAATGTAATCAAATGTATCGCCGTTGTGAAGTACGAAATACAGCCTGTTGTCTTAGCTGTTTGGAAGGGGAAGGAAAATTTAACTTGGAAGATTGTTTAAAAAGGTCTCCTCTTCCAATTTCAGCTACGGTTGCTTATGCCAGAGCAACACCTGAGCTTCAAGAGTTATGTGATGAGTATTGTGGACTGTACGCCGGTAAAAATTGTAATAGGTATGTTCCATCTGTAAAAGGAACCAGAGCTTTGAAAGACTGGTTCTGGTTATGTGGACACGGGGTTTATACCTCGCTACCATTCAATTGGAGTGGACGATGTGCTTTAGTAACTTTAGAGGAATATTCTATGATCATTAGACCACACAGGTATGACAATGTGACTAACCAACGAAACACACGCTCCCTCTCTGACCGCAGCTCAACTAGTAGTTTGGGAAGAGACAATCCAGTCCCCAAAGAACACAGATTATGGACTGGTATGGAAAGATTCTTTGAAAGTATATTCCCATCAATAGGAGTTGGTAGTCTTCAAGTTGAAGTAGAAGTTACAAGATATGAATTGATTTCCTTTATTAAAACGACAAAAGCCACCTTAGAAGGTGTCCGAGAGGAGCTTCGAGCTCTTCGTTTAACTGCTTTACAGAATCGTTTGGTTCTGGATCAACTTACAGCTGCACGGGGTGGAGTCTGTGTGATCGTTGGAATTTCTTGTTGTACGTATATACCAGAAAATGATGAAGATGGTCATATCATAGCTGATGGAATAAACAATATGACAAGAATTGCTGATGAATTACAAAGAAGAGAAGTGAGTGATAGAGGTGGTTTTGGAGATTGGATTACGAGTTGGAAACAAATGCTTGTATCGGCCTTAATACCAATAGGAGTTATCCTATTAATCCTTGCATTTATTGTTTGCTGTATTATCCCATTTATTAGGATGTTGATTTATCGTGCTATGAATACTTTCGTATCCTCTCAATATTCTCTAGCGAATAGAACTATCAAGTATTAATGATTTGAAGGAAATGTTTGATTGAAGGATTTTTTCGTGTATTATTCTGTAATAATGGACATGCTGATCATGTGATATGATAATTCTGTTATATGATAACTGTCATTATCAAAGGGGCCATTGTCAGAAATATAAGTCTTTTTAGTCTCAGCTATGTCCATTAGGCCCAAGAGTATAAAGGCTCTATGAAGAGTTTATGCTTTGCTTGCACATTCCTCTGTATGTATGTGTGTAAGTTCAAACATCTGGAGAGTTTCTCCCTCTCCCCTTTCTGTTCTTCTTTCTTTTGTTACATATAGAAAGTCTTCTAGGATCCCTAGGTTCTGAGGGTATTTTCAACGGATATTGACCATATTCGGAGTTATTATATAAATGTTATACAACGTATATATGATATGGCATGAGGTCATATATAATTCTATTGGATAAGACCAGATAACTCCCCTCGATATTTTCATATATATTTGCATGTCACATATGGGGAGGCTGAGCTATCTTTTCTGGCTCCCCCAGCGCTGGTGATTTTGATTCTGTATGGTCTGTTCACAACTCAATAAAAGGACGTGGAGGAAAAGGCACTTGTTGGAAGTCGTTCATTTCTAACACCGACTCTGTACCGTACCATACCGTATCGTACCGCTCAGTGGAAACCAGCCATTAATTTCGGGAAAGAGACTTCAGATACAGTATTAGGGGAACACTATGGCACAATTTATTTATTATTTATTAAATTTAAAACATGCAGCAGGTCATAGGACCTTTAAAATTTACTGCAAACCCAAAGATTTTTGTTGCCAAAAATGCTCCTTTCCTTTCTAAAATGATATTCCATCAGTCAATGAGCGAAAGGGTGAAGAAAAACACATTCTCTTAGCTAAGACTCCCAGCCATCGCATCTGTACATCTATGCTATCTATTTCAAAGTTTAGCAGCTTTCCTCAATGCAAAGGTTTGCTCAAAGTTTCCCTCAAAATGTGTTTACGAGCTCCTGCCATCTGTTGAGGAAAGAATTAGTCTCCAGATTGAGGGCTTTGGGGGTTGTTTATTTCCAAACCTTGTACTCTAGAGATGTGATTAATTGGTTGGTGAAAACATCTCCCTCTCCATAACTCCTGCGGTGAAGCCTGGCCTGTGTACACAGTGAGATGACCAAGGCAATATAAGTAGAATTAATCTGAAGTCTAATAGGAAAGCCACTGAACACTGACCGCTCTAATAGTTTTGAGTACAGAGCACTAAAGTAATGAAGTTTCACCATTTCAGCTGGCCATCTCATTTAGCAGCGAGAACCAGCTCCCACAGAGAGGCTTGAGTTTCCTCTCTTACCTGTGCTTTCTGACACGAAATACCCAAGAAACAGAACGAAGCCTTTTAGATCATCAAAGAGAAAAGGTCAAGCTAAATAAAAACTTCACGTGCAGCAAGACGGATAGAAAAAGATCTGCCATTCAAATTTGTTTATATACAGTAGGATTCACAAGTCTTGAGAAGTTTTTGAGAACAAAAAAGTTACATATTATATTATCTGCACAACAATTAGAGTGAATGTTGAATAGATTTTTTTATTATTAAATGAATTCAAATTCAAAAAACCAAAATTATTATTTTACATATATTCATTTTATAAATGTGTTTTTTAACTTTTTCTAGGTTCAAATTTTGAATACAAGAGACTTTCAATGTGGTCGTATGACAACACGACTACAAAGAAATAAGATACAGGGCTTTATGGACCGGAGATGATCTAATGACAGATTTTCACGCTGAGCAATAAGAATGGGATATGGGCATGAGCCATCTGCTCCTTCCGTTGCTTCACCTGTCACTGAACATAACAACAAAACAACAGTCCCACAATCTGTAGATCAGCAAATCAATCGTGTCTGAGCAGAGAAACCTAAAACCTATGATTAAATCAGTGTACAGGGAGCTCCTGCTGTTAAAAGTACACCTGCAAATGTGTGTATGACACATTTTGATTTGAAATTTATTTCAAAAACAAAGAATGAGGACTGTTATGTAATGATGTCCTAAGAATTATGCATTAAACTTAAACTATCGCTCAAAAGTCTTGTATAGGTAAAAAAAAATAAAAATATAAAAAAAAAAGTTTTTGAAAGAAGTCCCATGCTCACCAAAGCTGCATTTATTTGACTAAAATGTATAATATTGTGAAATGTTATCACAATTTAAATTAACCGTATTCTATAATACTATATTTTAAAAAAATGTGATGGCAAAGCTGAATCATTACTCCAGTCTTCAGCGTCACAAGATCCTTCAGAAATCATTCTAATATGCTGATTTCGTACCAAGAAACATTTCTTCATATTATGAATGTTAAAAGCAGTTGTGCTGCTAAATATTTTTGTGGAAACTGAGATAAACATTTTTTCATGATTTTTTTAAAAATAGAAAGTAAATTTCAAAAAGTCTTCACTGTATGCTGATCAATGTAATGCTGAATAAAAGTATGATTTCTTTAAAAAAAAAAAATACTAACTCCAAGACTGTCTAGTTGTAACAAGTATGTTCTGTTTTGGTTTTGTTTTCACTGTGTTCTGTTCCTGTTTTGCCTGTTTGAGTTCCTAGTTAGTTTCCCAGGCTGTTAATTAGTTTCCACCACACAACTGTTTCTGTTCACCTTGATTACGCTGCCCATGATTTTCAGGGTATCATTTGGTTCCTTTGTCAGGTATCGCCAGTGTTTAAGGTGGTTGTATTCACATTTATCTCCAGAGTATTCTTTGTAGATTCATTAAAGACTGTTATAGTTCCCTATTCCTTTCGTCATCATGAGCTTCCTTCCAGCCACTGATCGCGTGACACCAGTCTGTGGTAGAGAATTTGTGACTCTTTCCACATTACATTGTGGTGACAAAAGTAACTCCCTGTATCTGAATATGCCTACTTGCATTCATACTATACAGTATACTGTATAGGCAAAAAACAGTACAGAGTGTGAGCGGAGTAGTAATGTATGTCCGAATACATACGGTGCATAAAACAGTTGGCGAAAAGTACCAGGATGACCTATACTTCCGGTGCGATTTTTTTAAAGAGAAACAGAAACAGGTTAATATGTGAAATATAAAAACAGGGATTTGAAAAACTAATTTGATTCATTGGCATTCCCTAAAAACTTTAAATATTGAATGTTTAACATTGAAACTTATCTGGCTGATAACTGCAACTGAGTGGCCTAAATCTCATTAGCATACTGAATGTCTAACTCACCATATCCTATCCTTCCTCCCTCCCTCCCTCCCTCCCTCTTCCTTTCCCTTTCCCCCTCTCTTTTGCATGCATAATGGGGATAAATATTTGGGGGAATCCTCAGGCTGAGGGATTATTATTAGCAATGTGTTATATTTGGAATGTTTCCACAGACCTCTGATCCTCTCTCTCTCTCTCTCTCTCTCTCTCTCTCTCTTTAAAGGAAGCTCAGAAGAGCCTAGAGACAGTGACTAGTGAGGCGCATGGCTGATCGCTGGGTTCTTAACTCCACAAACAGACAAACCCTGATTTTTGTTTTGATACGCTGTTTTTGCACTACACAGCGCCATCCAGAAATGGTATTTCTATTATTTTTTTTTACCTGACAAAGATTGATACACCCCACTTTACACTTAGTATAACGTTTTCACACCAATAGGTTATTTGTTTTGTTCTGAAACCGTGACTTAATTTGTTACAATGTGGCATTTTCTTCTTAGTTCGGTTCGCTTTCACAAGGCAACCTTTCAAAATGTGTTCACGAAAGTCACATGCGAGTATAACTGTCCTCTTATGGTCAATGTTTTCTCTGTGTCATCCATCAAGATAATTGACAGGTTCGCTGCATGAGCTTATTGTAACTGTCGAGACACTATACGAATGTAGCCGTCATTCCCGCTGTTAAATTATATACTACATTCATATTAATATTGCAGCAAATTCAAATGAGCTCTCTCTCTCTCTCTCTGGATCTGCCAGCACTGTCTAGAGGATTACTGTGTCAAGACCAAGGTCAAGAAACGCACAAACACTATGTTATAAAGCTAGAGCAGTAATCAGCTTCATTGGGACAGCAATATTCTCTATTCATACCAGGAAAGTCCACTAGTTCACTTGATTAGGTCTGGACCAAATACAATGTTAGTTTGTTTGCTTGGTGTGGTTCGCTTTCACACTGCCCTTTTTGCATGTGAACCAAAATTTGTAAACAAAACCACACGTGTGCTAAGGTCATCCATTCATTGGACAGAAATTCAAACCGTTCCAGTGTTCGTTTGAAACTGGACCAAGAACACCTCTTCAGCTGGGTCTCGGTACGGTTGTTTGATACGCACCCGAGTGTGATTGCTGTATTAACACCTACCCAAAAGATCCGTACTAAGGGGGGAAATGAATTTGAGTTAAATTCAATTGAACCAAACAACACAGGTGTGAATAGCCTACACCCAGATGAAGAGGTGCTCTTTTGGTTTTCAACTGTGATAACTAATGTTCTCACTCACAGAATCAGACACTACTGCTATATATACTGTGTATAGAACATTTTCCATCATGAATTGGTTCGTTGGTCCACTGGGTCGAATTGCTTTCACATCTGAAGTGGACCGCCCCAGAGTTCGTTGAATCGGCCCCTGTTCAGGCAGTCTCGGAGTGATTGTTTTGGTCCGGATCTGAGTGCGATTGCAGTGTTCACATCTGCCTTAACAAACCGAACCATGGGTGAAATCGCAAAAGGTTCCAAAACAAACACAGTTGTAAAAAAGCACACTTAATATGATTTTTTTGTGATTTTCTTATTTAAAACCTAGAAGCTTTGCGTAGTTTAACTCGGGGCCCTTTTCTCGGTCTGAAAATTCCTCAAAGTCCAAAAACGTGCGGGTCGGGACTTCCAGGGCCCCAGAGGCTCTAACGGCACACCCAGGAAGGTGCACCGTCCTCGGGCACTGCCAGGTGGCCCCCGGGGTACTGGAAGTCCCCCCGGAGACATGGGTGACATCCACACCCACCGAACGAACGGGAAATTCTGTTTTTCGCCATTATCTCTAAAACCACAAGGCGAAAAAATTTCAAACTTGGGTCGTCCGTAGGTCTCGAGGGGCCCTATCAAATGAAATTTCGAGGCCAACAGAGGAGGAAATTAATAGTTAAATAAAATCGTTATTTTTTTTTTATTTTTTTTTGTCGCTTGACTTTTTGATCGCATAAACTTAAGATTGAGCCACTATAGTCACTCGGATTATTTTAACGATGTCTTTCATAACTTTTGGGCCGGCCAGTTTAAGTTTAGATCCCTTAAGAAGCCTATGGAGGAGTGATCCAGCTCTCAGATTTAATCAAAAATATCTTAATTTGTGTTCTGAAGATGAACGAAAGTCTTACCCGGTTTGGAAAAACCTGACCGTAAGTAATTACTGACAGAATTTTTGGGTGAACTAACCATTTAACAACTTAAAAAGCTACAGTAGGCCTACAGTACATTACACTTCTCACTAGTGAGGTTATAACAGCGCTGTTCTTAAAGCAGATAAACTTCAGGTAAGAGTTTCGCTATTAGTAGAGTCGCTGCTGCGAAACAATGTTG